AGAGGGTTGAAATGTGATCTCATAATTCCCTGCACCACTTAATTTTTAAGATCCCTTCTCACTCAAAAGACATCAGTGACAGAAGGTTTTCTGTGTCCACATCTCCCACTGGGACACAGCTAGCTTATCATTTCTTCAACAATGGAGAGAAAATGGATTTCTCTTTTTCAAAATTTGAAGACATTTAGGGAGCAAGATGAAAAGAAATGGAAGCACTCATGGGACAGGGAGCGGTTCTGTCTTCAGCCAATGTGAGCCAAACTCTTCATGCGTCCCTGTTCTCATTCCAAACCCAACTTTTCCAAAACAAGGAACACCTACCAATTAACCCGGGACCTGGAACACATTAGAGACAAATGGAGAGAAGGGTTTGAAGCAATTTCATGCTCTAGTCTCTGCTCACCAGAAAACTAACATTGCAGATAATAACACACTGCTGATGGTATATGGCTCTGTAGGAGGTGGTGTTTTATTATGCTTATATACATTTGCAAAAAATCATTCACCTGCAATTTGGCATATATACTTACTCCTGGTAATGACATGCTTTTCAGAGTGTTCTTGCATCTACCTCTCTGCAAGTTCATTATGTAAGCGACCAGAATTATTATCTCTGTTGAACAGATGACAAAAAGTTTGAAGAATTTTCTCAAAATCAGCCAGTTAGTGGCAGAGTAGACAGAGGCCTCCTGGAATTCAACATTGGGCCGTCTCTACACCACTTTCTCTGCTGAACATGAGGCAGATGTAAAGGACTTAGAAAAGTAGTTAATTAAGAACACTACCCTGGGTTTTAACTCAGTTTAAAGTTTTTTAAAGATTAATTATTAAATTATTCTATGTAGTTATACTTTTTAAGCTACTATTTTATAACATAAGCTTATTATTATTCCAATATTCACTGTTCCTCTTGTCTGTGCACTTATTACGTCCTTTCTATTACAAATGATCAGTCCACTGGAAAAAAAGAATAGCCTACACATAAAAGAAAGTTTCTTCAAACACCTACACACACATTGACTGAGGATATGAATTTGTGATCATTAAATGTGTACTCTTCAATTAAGCTTTTGAAAGATGAGCAGAATGGAGTGGAAGAGAGAAAATAGTCATTTCTGGCTTTGACAAGTGGTCAGGAAGAGGCCACAAATAGAAAATGAAACAGGGAATATTAAGTCCGCCCCCAACTAGGATATAAATGGCAGATGAGGCGGATAAAGGGAGCAAAGTACAAAGGAGAGGGCTGTTGGAGTATCTGAAATGACTCAGGTAAAGCAATCACTATGAAAGATGATGCCCTTTAAGGCCCAATTTAAATGGCTCTCCCTCTGTAAAAACGTACTCTCATTTCGCAGAACAAAATTCTGTCCTCTAAAATGATACATTACCTCTCCTGTAGGCTTTGTAGGCCAAAGCTATCCATGGCTTCACGCAAGGGGACTAATCTACTTTGGGCTCATGTAACTCCTAACCATCCTTAGTGAGAGGTTGGAGGTGAGAGACTGGGAGAGGATGAAAGGAAAGGGGAAATAATGTGCTTATTTAAGGTCTACTATGAACGTGACATTGTGCTAGACACTTTGTGTCATCTCAGCTAAGGCTTAGAGCGGTTAGTAATTTATCTATCAATTTATCAACTGATAAATAGTAAAATCAGGATTTGAACCTACTTCTTTCTTTTTCCAACACTGGCACTGAGCTTATTAAGCTCAGTAATACTTAATAAATATTAAGTATTTGCTGGAAAATTAGTTCCATCATGGCATTTAAAAATGGCTGAAAGAAAATATTTCACAGCAGTTCTTCATTATTTCTGGGTCATGGACCTGTGCAAGAATCTCTCTCATGAAATTACACATATGTAAATACATACAACATTTTGCATACAATTTGTTGAGGATCACAGAGCCTCTGAGTGCAATCAAGGACTAGCTAAGGGGCCATGGAAACTAAAGAACCTGTGGATTACAGTATTTCTAACTACCCCTCTTCCATCCAAACCACTTCACAGCTCCCCCTCCTTCCACAGTCTGAGAGCAATCAAAACCAGAGAAAATTTAAACACAAGAAAAGTGTGGTTGAGAATGGTAAATGCGAAATTCCGATTTAGCACTGTATTTTAAAATGTCATGTTGGGGTGCCCGGATGGCTCAGTAGGTTAAGCATCCGACTTTGGCTCAGGTCATGATCTCAGAGTTCATGAGTTCGAGCCCCACCTCGGGCTGTGTGCTGACAGCTCAGGGCCTGGAGCCTGCTTCAGATTCTGTGACTCCCTCTCTCTCTCTCTTCCCCTCCCCCTGCTCATGCTCTCTCTCTCTGTCTCTCAAAAAATAAACGTTAAAAAAAAACATCATGGAGAACTTCAATGAGGAGACCTTAGAAAATGTGGTTTAACAATCTTTAAATTTCAGTTTTGATCTTCAGACCATATATGATGCACGACTGAGAGATGACGTTATCAGAATTCATTCCCAAAGGAGCGAAATAGCTGATAATCAAACTGAATGGAAAATCCCAGGAAGTATACCACTACTTAGGGAGAAAGAGGTTTATATATATCATTCTGCCTGAGGAATTTTCTTGAAAAATGTTTTCGGATTTTGGAGGCTAAATAAAATATTTCAAATGCAGTTTCTATTATTTTTACTTATACTCTGTATTGTTTCAAAGAGGATTTAAGATAGCATACAGGCATATGAGAAAATACAACAAAACATGATGAATCACATGTGGGAAAAAAAATAAAGGTAGAGACATAAAATAGAGCATGGAATGGAAGTGACTTCTAAAATATGAAGTTATACATTTATTGACTAGGCCTTTAGTCCCTCATGGTAATTTTAAATACTTACGCAATACTAAGAGTTACGTGTTAAGTATATATTTTTCATAATTTACAAAATACATTCACATAGAACATCTTATTTGATCCCAAATTGACTTTGTGAGGCAACTATTATCTACATATTCCAGATAAGGAAAATGAGGCCCAAAGAAAGACTTGAAAATCGAGTCTTTGCTCTTTGCATTAGATTATTCTGCTAGGTAGCAAGTGATCATTACTTCTGTGCATCTTAGCAGTGGAGTAATGCACATCGGTCCTGTGCAAGAACAATACGCATTGATTCATGTGGCCCTGACGTTGTCATGAGAGAAGGATTACTGATGCTTTATAGGTAGCTTCAGACCTGGAGGTTGGATAGACATAATATTGGACTTTAGACTTTGGAATAGCCCTTTAACACTTAACTCCTTCACTTTTTATGTATGCATGTATTTATTTATAATTTTTTCAAATGTTTGTTTATCTTTTTAAAATTTTTTTTTAACGTTTTATTTATTTTTGAGACAGGGAGAGACAGAGCATGAACAGGGGAGGGTCAGAGAGAGGGAGACACAGAATCTGAAGCAGACTCCAGGTTCTGAGCTGTCAGCACAGAGCCCGATGCAGGGCTCGAACTCAAGGACCGCGAGATCATGACCTGAGCCGAAGTTGGCCGCTTAACCGACTGAGCCACCCAGGCACCCCTCAAATGTTTATCTTTGAGAGTGACAGAGACAGAGCACAAGTGGGGAAGGGAGCTCTAAGAGGCCAAATGATTTTTCACAAGTTATGGCAGCGTCACAGGCCAGGCTTCCTAAGTTTTTGTTTTGTTTTACACTGCACCGCCTCTATAGCTCTACCTTCACTTCTCTGATTTCTTTACACACTCAACTCTGATCTTTCTCCTGTTTCCCCTGTGTCCATCTGGTAAAGCACCATACGCATACTCACATGGCTACAAGACCCTGCGTGACCTGGCCCCAGTGACTTCTCCAGCAACTCCCCTCCTCTAACAGTATGGGAATGCTTTGGACGCTTAAGGATGCTCAGCTTTTGTGTCACCCTGACAGAGCTTTCCTGTTGAGGCTGTTTCTAAAGGCCACGCCTCCAAGAGTAGAAAGCAACTGAGTCTCTCCCGGAAGGAGGAGACATTCTAGATGTCCACCACCCATGAAAGACCTGAGTGAAGGCACTCAGATGGGAAGGACAAAACGGCCTCTGGAACCTGGAGGCCTCGGGCAGGGACCTCCCCTTTCCTAAAGTAAAAATGAGTGAACGAGTTTATGCAATGCCGGGTAACTTTTCACGTCAAAATTTTTTTCTAATGTCTATTCATTTCTGAGAGAGTGTGAACAGGGTAGGGGCAGAGAGAGAAGGGGACAGAGGATCTGAAGTGGGCTCTGCATTGACATCAGAGCACCATGTGGGATTCACACTCATGAACGTGAGATCAATCCTGACTTGAGCCAAAGTTGGATGCTCAACCTGCTGAGCCACCCAGGTGTCCATCGTGTCAAATTCTTGGGTGCTGTCCCTGAAACTTTAGTTAAATCCCCTCCAGGGGCGCCTGGGTGGCTCAGTCGGTTAGGCGTCCGACTTCGGCTCAGGTCATGATCTCACGGTCCGTGAGCTCGAGCCCCGCGTCGGGCTCTGTGCCAACTGCTCAGAGCCTGGAGCCTGTTTCGGATTCTGTGTCTCCCTCTCTCTCTGAACCTGCCCCGTTCATGCTCTGTCTCTCTCTGTCTCAAAAATAAATAAATGTTAAAAAATTAAAAAAAAAAAATCCCCTCCAAATACTCCAAAAACAACCTGTGAGTTCATACTTGATGAGGCCATTCAAACCATGTATTTGTAAGCAACCAGCCATAGCCGGCTCAGCATGAAGGGGTCAGTAGAATTACATAATGAGAGATCCCCAAAGGGAGAACCAGGACCACTAAATCCCAGGGACCTTCCCCCCCGGCGATGATTGTCCTTCCACTGCCAACATCAGAGGACATGGGTTAGTGAACGAGCTTCCGGGCACAACTTTAAATTCTTTCAACAGAGCCATGAACTTTGCACATTGTGCTCCTTTGTGCCTTCAGTTCCCATTCCCAAACTTTCGTCCTTTTGGCAAGCTCTTACTCATGATTCATGTTCCCGGTTCAAACATCATGTTCTCTAGGCAACCTACCCTGACACTTCCTCTTCTTCCAAAACTGTGCTCCTTTAGAACAGGGTCTGCCTTCAGTTACGGTGCCTACAATACAGAAACAGAACATGAACTCAATAAAGGTTAGTGGAATGAGCAAAAAAGCTACTTTGCTTTTTCCTTTAAATATATTTTTTCGGGGTGGCAGGGTGGCTCAGACAGTTAAGTGTCCCACTCTTGATTTCAGCTCAGGTCATGATCTCAAGCCCAGCATCTGGCTCTGCGCTGACAAGTGTGGAATCCGCTGGGGATTCTCTCTCTGTCCCTCTCCCATTCGTGCACGCTCTCTCTCAAAATACACTTCTTAAAAAACCTATTTTTTCAATAGGTAATTCAGAACACCGCAAAAAAGTTCAAACTGCACATGAAAAATTCAGAGAAAAGTAACTCTTTCCTCCATTCCCATCCGTCCTCCCCTTGGAACCAGTTGTGTTTCCTCTCAGTGTGACTACCCACATACGGGTATTTCAGTGTTTTCTTGCCTTTTTATTTTTTTTAACACAATGGTAGAAATATACGCGTTATCTATAAAACAATAAAATACAATTTATAAATATACGGACATATTTAGCATATAATTGTTACACTGAATATCTTCTATATAAATACTACACAGAATATAAACATGCACGTATACACCGATTTCTGTGCCGTGTTTTTGCTTGTCAGGCTTTGTTCTAAGAGCCGTAATATTCCACCATAGGGGCATACCATAATTTTCTTCACATTCTCTAATTTACAAAAAATTCCACTTTCACCGTCAGGCCCCCGACCCCCAGACGGAAATACCGTCGCCCTTCCACCCACCCCGGCGGCTCCCGCGTTCTCAAAACACCTTTCCACAGGCCCAAAGCCGGGCCCGGCACGGAACGCGACCTCCGCCTTCCCACAACTTGCCCCGCGCCCCCACCGCAGGGCGGAAGGACGCGGCGCCCATGCGCGTCGCGGCGACGGAACCGAACCTTCCACTTCCCTCCCCTCCCCCTGGGTCTCCCGGCCGCCGGGGTCGCCCGCTCAAACGTGCCTGAACGACCGGCGCCCGGCCTTCCCCGGCTCGGGGCGGACCGGGAAGACGGGCGCGGCCGGCTCGGCGCTGGGCGGGGCTCCGGCGGGGCTCCGGCGGG